ATGAGCAATCAATCAATGTATTGGCGGTTAATCCTTTGAAGGAAGGACGTTGTTTTTACAAAGATGAAAGAGACTTTACGACAGGGGGTGTATACATAAACATAAACACACATACATAAACACTTCCTTTTGACAAATCCGCAGTGCATGATAAAATCAATTAATCAATCAGCGTGTTATCGGTTAATCCTTTGATCGATGTTTGTTTTGAAACTCAGCTGATAATTCTTATTGCTGCACTTCCATGCGCATATTACATAAGATGTAAATACATTTGCCACATCAGACCTCAGTTTATAATGATGAGTATTTACTCTAGACACAAGAAATGCCAAATGGGAACCTTTGGCGGGTAATCTGAGTGGTGTTATGACTAAGTATACCTGTTATAAATTCATTAACTGACCATCAAGTGAATGATGACAAATAACATGTGTAGGTTTACAACCAAACAAGGGTTACAGCAAGAGAGTAGTAATCACTGTATTGCATTTAAGTTTGATTGTCTGAAAAAACAACTTATGGGCCGACACAGTTTTGAGGATCGAACGGATCGAACTTCAATGTTACATAAGAAATATATATAAGAATTTGCTGTGCACTATATATACATAAGTACCTAAGTAAAAATTCAGATTTTTAGCAGTGGCAAAGTGAGGCTGTTTAGTTTATAGATTCAAATATATCAAATGTGTTGTTTTTTCATATCATAGCATACGTAATAGACATCATATTTTTAACATGATTAATTATCGAATACAGAAAGAGGATCAAATGGGATCAGTGACTATACCATCCAAACATTTGAAAATCTGAAAAAGCCTACACTGCGGGGATACTTTACTACAATCAGACAAGAACTACCGGGGATATTTTCAAATAACGGCATATGATGGGCATACACCTTTCTTAATGTCCCGCTGATTAGGTTGAAGAAATTCTGTCAAGATGGACAGTAGCCCAAGTCCCCGTGTCCGTCCCGGTCGTAATTAGACTGTTGGCTGGAAACATAATCGCTCTGGATTAGTGGCCCTTTAAGTGTTTGTTTTGTTTGATATTTTGTGGACAACTCAAAAATATTCCTAAGTAATATTTTAACTTTTATATGAACAGTTGGCTTGTACTATAACATTTATATAAACATGCTGGCCTCTGATTTACCAAAATCTAAAATGATGTTTACATAAACCTACACATAACATGGTACATGACGTTATGAACATCGATCCAAGCAAGTGGGATACGATCTCAAGTACGTGAGAACACGTACGTTCCCTCTTATGGCAGCATGGGTTGCTGAAGAGTAATTCGTAAAATATGGTAATGAATGGTAATGAATATTTGCAGAGTCAGTCTCGTGATACGGACTGTGGGTCATCCACCAATACTGTTATAGACAAAACACTGTACGTCGCCAATATCAACTGGTGTCTGCATGACTTGTACTTCACAAAATGAATTGTCAATTTATATATAATCACTATCAGCTATTCCAAACACGCACAGTAGTAGGTAAAGACATTGACAGACGTGTATGATGAATTACAAATAGAAGTACATAGCCTTATATCGGTACATACATATTGACATACCCAGATGAACCCTACCAAGTCGGCTGTTGTCAACGGCATTGTTCCACCAGAGATTACGAGGTTACCAGCTGTGATCGGCAAAGTGAGTGTTAAATGAAGGAAAGCTTATGCTTACCCAGATCTGTGTTTCCTGCAAAATTCTCATTGACTAGTCTCTGAAATCTGACTCGTAATTTTGTGTTTTAGTGACAGGAGTGAATATATATCTTCATTGCAAAATACGAATACTATTATTACGAGAAGAGTTTTAGAAATGCGTTTTCCGCCTTTTACGAGCCACATCCGCTCTGCATCGCTGGGGCCTCATCATGTCAGTAGTCTGTGTCACAGTCCAACCCTTTCTACAATGCAAATGTCCAAATTGAAGCAAGTCTAGTCGCCCACTGGTCCGGCATAAACGGAATTATTTATTTCTCTCAAAGTTTCCTATTTTCCGAGATTAGCGCTTTGTATAACGTGGCAGGATCCTGTTTGTACGGATCGAAACATGCCAGAGATGAGCTTAATGGTTTTTCAAGACCATACCTATTTTTCTTAATTTCTCCTTCATTAGACAACTGTTGATAGATCGAATATCAAACGTGTTCGCAGTGTGGCCTCTATGTGGTATGTGTTTTTTTGGGGGGTGTTTTATTATTTCAGGTGCGTGCGTGCGTGTGTGCGTGCGTGTGTGTGTGTGTTTCTTTTTGTATTGATTTTCAATGAGTGGGGGCTATTAAGATGAAAGCCATCTGTGCAGTACAAATCGATTATTTTCTGAGTAACACAGAAGTAGCAGAAAAGTGAAACAATACTGTGTGTATGTACATGTGAGTAATGTAGCTTTAACCAGGTTTGGAACACAAGTATTTGGACAGATCTTTTGTGTTTGATTGAATGCGGGAATTATGTATTCAAGAACTGCATTGAATAATGTGAAACAAGTCGCAAATTGTAATGTTGTCAGTTAACACCCGATACACCAGAGTGATAACATCTTGCATAACCTAAACAACAATCAAACCGGGATGTAAATGGCACTCAACATTCTAGGCCCGTACGTTCGATCACAACACTACGCTTTTGTTTTACAGCTTCTTATCTCTAAACATGTTGAAGTCAAAACTAATTTAAATTCTAATCGTAGTTTAAAGAATAAGACTTAGCATACCAAAGTATCTTAACTATGGCAACGCTAAGATGTTTCACCTTTGCTTCTGAAAGAGATAAAGAGAGTACTGAATATACGATGCTAGGTATGACTGTACAACCATAGATGATACGGTCTTCCATAAATCTGCATAATCACTAATCACAGAATGGACTGGTTGTTAATATATATTTTATGTATTTTAAATATATTTTTTACAGTGTATGCTTAACGTGTGACACTATGATAAACTATATCTGGCTCTTTGTCATCGTATGCCGAGGACAATCAAATTCGGCTACGTCATTTGTGTAACCGTTTTACGACCTCGACGTCAACCAGTAAGGCACTGTTTAGCGGTCGAGTTACTGCCCAGACCACACGGCTTGCGCGCTGCCCATGTTGACGTATTTATGTTGGTCCGATTCTGAAATTGCACCTGCTGGTTTCTTAGTGTAGATATTGACGTCATGGAGTGGCCATCGACAGCACCTAACCAGAATCCTATAGAACACAATGTCATATTGAATGCTCTTGGAAGAATTCTTCGTGCCGTGAGACGTCAACACCAGAATGTTCAAGAGCCGGGCACCATTTTGGTAATGGGTCAGGTTGCCTAATGATGTGTTCACGGGCATTATGCAGTCAATGAGATAACGTTGCCTTGCTGTTGTGAACAACTCCAGCAGAGATGACCCCATCGTGCCACTGTTGTTCACGGGGGTGCTCCAAGCGCACCATAACGCACCATACGCTCATTACGTCCATAAACCGGATTTATCCACTAATAACAGTGTCACACTTTGTTCTGTATGGGTATGTTACTTAAAGTAACACATGCGAAGTTTCATATTTTTAGTATATGCCCAGGTATTGTATGTTCTGAATGTGATGGTGGAATCATGCGCCCCTGAGTGACTTCTAGGCAGTTCAAACAGATCAAATATTTATATCCCTGGGTATACATTGTGGGAGGATATAGTCGAGGCCTCGTCTGTCTGTCCGTCCATCCGCCCGCCAGTGTTTTACATCTTGTCCAGGCAATATAGTGTGATTGACATCATGAGCATCTGGGACAAAATAACCTGCATAGGCATCTACCAATACAGCATGCCTGACCACCCAATCCTCACCTCATACAGCACCCATGGGCTGCTTTACTCGCGAACCCTTGCCATTTTTGTCTCGTATCGTTAATTGTTAGTGATTTCAATTTTCTTTGATCTAATTTAATAAATCTGTGATAATCTAATAATTATACTGTCCTTCGTTGACAGGGTTTTATAAATTATTTACTTACCATGAATTTAGAACTGTAGAATATGGCTGAAATATTGCAGATGTGACTTAGAATCATCACTCACTCACTCACTCACTTTGACCCGAAGCTGGACTCGGCTACTTCAAATGTCATGCCACTATAATCATTACCACGTCGTTTGGATTTGAGTGACTTGTGTAATAGTCAAAGGAATCAATACTACTGATAGTGGTCACATAGTATCGTATAACCCCAGTCAGGTATCCATGCTGCTCACGGATGTGCAACAGATGTTCAATAATATTTGATCTCATCAAATCTAATGGCAATACGTGCAAACACTAAAACGACACAGTGGCTCCAACTTAACGTGTATTCATGCATGTAAAATCACCCAAAACAGGATACGACTAAAGTCTGCCGACAAAGAGGATGTATCTACACATGTCGGTAGGCTACCTTTAGCAGGAACTGCATGGGGGGTTACATTAGTGTTTTACGCAGGATCCAAGGACAGAGCTACGGAATTTCAAACGGAGCACCCTTAGTCAAAAAGGGGCATATATGATGTATTCTAGGCACGCCCATTCTACAAAATGCACCGTACAGTGCATGTTCTATTTTGTGAGTGAGTGAGTGAGGTTTAACGCCGCTTTTAGCAATATTCCAGCAATATCACGGCGGGGGACACCAGAAATGGGCTTCACACAGTGTACCCATGTGGGGAATCGAACCCGGGTCTTCGGCGTGACGAGCTTCTATTTTGTGGATGGATGCGACTGTTGAGCTGTGTATACTCGCAGAGTTGGAATCATGGATGTGTGCTGTATGTGAGGTTACGTGTAATTATTGGTCGTCTTGAAAAACCAGTAATTCCACCAGTAAGGTTTGACTATACACTGCAGATAGAGAATCTTTTTCATGTCTAATCGAACTCAAAAGTAATCGTTTATTGCGCCCACAGGACAACGTATATCATGGGCTTAACGTTCCGACAAACGACAACAAACGGAACAAGGAACAATCATGAATCCGGTTTTATTCATCACCTACATTGGCAAAACTTCCCGACCCATCAACACCCGAGTGAAAGAACATCAGACCTCTGTTACCAATTCCGACAACAAATCAGCCATTTCCGACCACATCAAAGCAAGCCCCAATCATCAAATAGAGTGGTCTGACATCACCATTCTCGCTAACAAACAAACAGACTTCACTAAACGCAAGCTCACCGAAGCCATCCACATCAAACGCCAAAAGCCCACCATCAACCGAGACCAAGGATACTTCATTCCATCCGCTTATGATGCACTCATCCACCAAGCCCAATCTACTGTATAAACTCTGCTGTATAAACATCTCATTATTATTTGTACATCATTGGCTTCCACGCCTGTCCTTTGTCTACTCTCTGGCTTCATCAACTTTCTGCCTAGCCAATTATGTTAATTATGTTGTTTTCTTTGTTACATTGTTACATCCGGTATATATACACTTCCCCCTTCTTCATGTTCCGTTATGCTTGACAACGGTACACGAATCTGTATCGAAACGTCGCACTCACGAATAAAAGTTGTTATCCATAAAGTTTGTTCTATATTGTACTTCCCAACTTCTAAAATGCCACTCAAAGAAGTTACCTAAGATACCTTACGTAATACTCAGAGTTCAGTAGTGTTTCCTAGTAGCTTGTTATTATACATTATTTGTTGTTCTGGGGAGATTGTTTTCATTAGCAGATAACTGTTTAGTGCGTAAATCACAAGTCATCGCCCTAGCCCTGTATTTAGTTGTCGTGATTATGGTTCAGCGTCCACTGACACAGTTCGCAGCACATAAGTTCGTATGTAAATTAAATAAGGGTCTGCCAGTCATAGTGTTCCAATACCAGATCATGACTGCGTCAACCCCTAAACGATAACTCTGTCTAACATTAACGACATGAATAAGCCCATTCCCTTTACCTTACAGAGAACCTTTCGTCAATTTCCGAGTTGAGTCATATTCAAAACAACGTATAAGGTTTCTAATGTCGTTCACATCATTGAGAGTATTATTCCACGGTAGCACATGTTCTTCGCGGAAGAACTGAATTTGTGTGACATTAGCCAACAAACATGTGTACTTCTTACTTTCCACTATGTTATTCCCTCAATTGCCATCATCGGAACACTGACAGCTTTTAACACTCTTCCATATAGAGTTGCATTTCGTGACAGGTGATGGATCGATGGATCAAATGTGTAGCATGTCAAATGTTACTCAAAGATATCTGGTTACATTAACCAGCAAACATATATGTACACGTATCGTGTGAAGTTCCGGGTCACCTGAAGTCCGACATTCAATGGATATATTTCCATGTACAGATTTTATGGAAAACGGCGTTATACAGCGCTGCAGATTTCCAGATGAATTAAGAACTTTGTCTTCGTATGGTTCTTCAGTCCTTTTCTTACTTCATTCGACACATTCTCCTTGGATGATATGAAGCACATCTTCAACATACCTCAGTTCGACATCGTTTGATATATACAATTCTCTCGATACTGTCACGCTAATGTTTTGATTGCATACTCTTCAGTGGCACTATCCACTTTTGCCATGCCGTTCCCGAGCATGTAGCGAGTGTCAGTTTAAGTTGCACAGTCACTTGTAAACACATTTTAGAAGGGCTGTGAAGCAAGGTTTGATTCTGAAACAAATTGAGTCAACATCACAAAGAATTAGATACTTTCATGCCACACCGGGAAGTTTTAATAAAGACCGACCATTTGATTTTGAATGCAGTTTTTGTAAGAAATACATTTGGTTATTGTACGAATATTTTACCGAGATATATTGTACTAAACTGTGATTAAACATACTTTATTAAACTCAGAAAAACAACAACAAAAAACAAATCATGGTTGTTTCAAAAAGGATGCGTAGAAGTAGAAACGGTTCAATCGTCTTGGAAGAAACACACCTCCTTGTCGTAGGTCCACGACTGTTGTCCAGGGCAGCCTTTCTTCAATACAAAGGTGCCATTCTCATGGCACATGTCGTGCATAGCCGAGCCCAGAGTCCGGTCTTCCTTCAGTTGCCACCACTGGAACAGTGACAGCTTTGAACACTCTTACATATAGGGTTGCCAGGTGATTCTCTCGATGAATCAAATGAGTAGCATGACAACAGTTACTCTTTTGTCAAATATATCTGGACTCCTTGGGGAAGTTGCATCCCTCGTCATGAAGGGATATCCATTTAACGCTGCCATTACCACACGGTATGACAGCTGTATGAATATTATATCAATTAGCAGAGCAGAGAACTGATGTCGCGTACATTTCCGAGGATGTAAACGTATAGAGAACTGTAGAAAAATGTTCCATTTTTGTAGATTTCAAATTTGGCACAATGTAAGCTTAAGGCTAATGTACGGAGAATGTAACTCTGAGAATCAATCTGGTAAACACATTTTTACATTTGACTGAGTTTAGTTTTACGCCGCTTTTAGCAATATTCCAGCAACATCACCAGAAATGGGCTTCACACATTGTACCCATGTGGGGATTCGAACCCGGGTCTATGGCGTGACGAGCCAACGCTTTAACCACTAGGCTACCCCACCGCCCCTTCTGTTTTGAGAGTAACACGTAAATATCACGTATGACGGATGTGAGCAATGCGTTACCAGATCAGTTCCAGAACCTTATCTACAAACCTGATTCATACCCTGGCCGTGACAACCAAACACCCCCGGTTTCATCGACTTCCCCATGCTGTCCAGGCAAACAGGCTTCGCCATGTTACGTATCTACAACATATAGTCATCGACTGAGTGCGTGAAAGTGTTGTGAGTGAGTAAGTGAGTAAGTGAGTGAGTGAGTGAGTGAGTGAATGAGTATGGTTTTACGCCGCTTTTAGCAATATTAGAGCAATATCACGGCGGGGGACACCGGAAGTGGGCTTTACACATTGTACCCATGTGGGGAATCGAACCCGGGTTTTCGATCTGACGAGCCATCGCCTAATCCACTAGGCTACCCCACCTCCCCGCGTTCAAGAAGAAGGGCTGAATGAGTGGTTTGTTAGCTTTGAACAATATTCTGCAGAGATTCCACTCTCCAGACACATGTGTCCACTACATAAAGATTGTATACAGTTACAAGTATGTTTAGTAAGCATTGGTTAACAACTGAAATTTACGTGGTTTTAGTTATAACACTAGGGTACGCACTTCTCCAGCAGCTATGGATTTCACCGGCTCCGGAAACGGAAATACATTCCTCATATACCACCGGAAGTCGTGACAATGTAAACTCTCCCTAAGTCGCTTCCTGGCCGATATGTCTCCAAAGTCCTGATTCGAAAAATAATACAAGAACATTATATCCTTAAAGGATATTCGTACCTATTCATCTCACGTGTACAGTTCTTTTTTCTGATTTAATATGAAGTCCGGTACTATCACTTTCCCAATCGTGATATACTTCAAAACATATCAATAAATGAATTCATGTGCCAGTTAGTCAGTGAGTAGTTCTCAAGTTGACTGATGAACTCATCCTCGTATCAGGCAATCATGAGCAACACGGGTCGTGGAGAGTGAGTGAGTGGGTTGAGTATTACGCCGCTCTTAGCAATATTCCAGCAACATCACGGCGGGGCATACCAGAAATGGACTTCACACATTGTTCCCATGTGGCAAATCGAACCCTGGTCTTCAGCGTGACGAGCGAACGCTTTAACCACCAGGCTATCCACCGCTCCCGTGGAAAGTGATTGGATGTTTGACAAGCTTCACTCGTGAGAATATATAGGGATTGAATGAGTATGGTTCACATGATGTGCCCCTTGACACTTGCCCTCTGTTAAAAATACCCAGTAGGATGAAATGAGTATGTGCACGCCTTCCAGCCACCTGTGCGTGAGTTATTGTTTTACGTCACATCGGCAGTATTTCAGCCACATAGTGACGGGAACAATTTAATATCATAAATATCTGTCACGAAGCAGCATACCACAAAATTCGATTATAAAAACTAATCCTTTCTAGTTCTAAAATATTCTACTCAAAACAAATCGATATGACATTCAATAACATTAAAACACGAGCTATGGACCACCAGCAACTAAAGCTATCCACCTTACTGGGGATCATAGGGACTTACAGTACTTCAGCTTCCTGTATAGATCCCCAGCTGAATTTAAACCATAACATCAGACACGGGCAATTGTGCACAATGCTCGCCGTAAATCAAAACAATACAACTGAAGCAATAAAACTCATACTGCCTACATTGTACTCAGATACTATTATGACTAACATCCAATCATCAGGAGACGAGATAGTTACATACTTATTAAAATTATAAATTGTATCAATGCTCGTTGATATGACGTACTGCTCGTTGGAAGGAGGCATCGTACATGTACTCCTGTAGTCGTCCATCCACACCTCCGCAACTCTCATGTAGTTCCTCTTGAGAACGTTGACGCCTGTGCTGCTCCATTTAATGGGGTTCTGATAACGGAAGATATGTCCAACTTGGGAACATGGAATTAGCTCGATGGTTCCATTACACATCCAGATCTGATCCAAGAGAGAACATCGTAATATTTCACACTGTTGTCATGCTCATTTCTCAAAATGTCATGTTCAATGTCTTACGCAGATTCAATGATGCTTCAACCTATTTTAACATTTTTCAAACTATTATTTTCATATTTCGTTACGGTAAAAAAATCAGAAGTAATAAATTATATAGACGTTTACATATCTGAAGACACACGGCTACATGTTGCTGGCATTCAAAGCTTATGGGGATCCAGCGAGGGTATATACTTGGTAAATGGTGAAGGGAAAATTGCAACACTTATTATCAGCTGATTTTGAGATAGATCTTCAAGATGCCGCTAAAAGGATGCATCTTGTTCTGCATACATACAAACATGCATTTTATCCCTGTCTCCACGCTATGCACACAGTTATTCTACGAAAATGTAACAGTGGTTAACAAGATGCTAATGAGGGAACAAGAGCCACCAATGAGATGGTCATTATGTAATTTAGTTGGGAGAAGGGTCCTAAGAACAACAGAATGATGGACTAAAATGTGGGTTGCTTCAGTATCGAGTATGAGGTCTTGACGAAAGTCGTTTGTCTTAACCATATTCGCATTTGGATTTTCAAAGAGTTGACCTACAGGTACGGACAAAGGTTCAGAAGAGTCGCAAAGGAAATAAAGTCAGACAAGATGGTGTCAAATATCCTTTGTGTCCTACATTATACTGTTATATATTTAAAAGAGTACAAACTTAAAAAGAATGTAAGGCGACAGACGACTGGTTCAACAAGATGTGTACTTCGAGGATATTTCGAGTAATTTGAGAGCCAAGGTTACCTTGAATGAGAGTTCCATGTTTTCCCCTCCCCAGTACAGGAGTGCAGGGTCATAGGTGCCAAGTGTTGTGAAGTAATTCCTGTCAATGGCAAACAAACCTCCCGGCATAGTGGCTGACCTGTCACATAAAAGATACAGTAGTGACTGACTGAGTATGTTTAGTTTTACGCCGCACTCAGCAATATTCCAGCTAAATGGCGGCGGTCTGTGAATAATCGAGTCTGGCCCAGACAAGCAAGTGATCAACATCATGAAGATCAATCTATGCAATTGGGATACGATGACATCTGTCAACCTAGTCAGCGATCCTGACCACCCGATCCCGTTGGCCGCCTCTTACGGCAAACATTGGTTACTGAAGATCAATCCCAACCCGGATCTTCACTGGTATAAAAGATACAGTAGATTAAACTATGAAACTATTTTTTATAAATCTTGTTAAGCCTGATTGTACAGCTGGATTCGTGTTAGATAATCGAAGCATGTCATATTGTGTATTGGATGTGTATGTGTGTATATACACATCCAATATATCTTCCACCACAAGGTTTGAGGTTCAGGATGTAAACACCCAGTCACAACTGCTCATGATACATTTTAATACTCAGGATATCAAACACATTTTGTCTATTTATTTCCCCATAGAATATGTACTACAACCGTATATACTACCTTATAGGATCAGCAGTGGACTTGCGCAGTTTCTCCACGCTCTCTGGGATGAAGATCCAGGTGAAAATAAGGTTCTGCCAGTTGAATACCCCTATCTGATTGTCCATAGAGGCGAAACTGCCAAAGTGGTCCTTGTCAATGTAGGGAATATGCGGGAAGGGAACGTTCTTCGGGTTCTCAGCGATGCGATCAAGCAGGGGTTCCAGCCAGCCTGCAATAGGGGGCACAGGCAGGTCTGATTAGCGGCATCCGTGTGGGTGTGGTGTCTAGTATGGACGTGCGACATCGATTATGACAAAACACAGGATATTGTTTAACGACGAGAAGAGTACGAAATTGCGGGACGCGTATGAGTAGACAGACATACTGTCTAAACCCCTCTTAACCTTGAATAGACAGCACATATAGAATGCATCAATCATTAAAAATACAAATCAGTACTTATAATATTAATTGTGTTGTGTTCAACATTTGAACCTTATTTACCTTTTACTCTTCATTTGATGATGTCAATTCGAGTAGATGTCCTCTGAATCATTGTTTTACAGGTCATCGAGAAAGTCTTTCAAGGAGACATTATACCTCTAAGTAAAATCGTTACCAATGCCCTCTGTGTAATCAAATCATTGTATGAAGCATGCCACAGATTGTTTGACGCATCATACGTCCATTAGATTGGTTGGTTGTTGTGTGGCCCCGCACTCAACAATATTCCAGTCATATGGCGGCGATCTGTAAATAATGGAGTCTGGACTAGACAATCCAGTGATCGCCATCATGAGCATCTGTCTACGCAACGACGTTAGTCGCCTCTTACGACAAGCATGGGTTGCTGAAGACCAAGTCTAATCCAGACCTTCAAGGGTAACTTCCATTAGACCAAGTGAGGACATCAATAGGTGCCTTGTGGAAACAAATGGCTTCGACGAGTCAACTACAAGTGCAGCCTATTGACCAGATTCTATATATTCAAATACCTCGGACGGATCTCTGATGTCCAGTTTGACTTTTTTTCAGGGAAACGTTCATGGTCACCGTCTATTTGAATTTTATATATGTGATATTGCCTGTTGGTTTGGTTTATGTGATACACACATATATAGAGGTCACAGATACGATCGTTTCTGTGAATACGTCATATCATAGTACGGTGTGGAAATGTGGAGTTACTCGCCGATCTGGAGACGTGCTGAGGTGCTTGAACTCAGAGTAAGTTGTTGTTTTGATTACGTTGCCAAGGAATGAAAAATAATAAGTTTGTAAACATATATTACTCAAATCCATGCTCCAATGAGTTTTTTTAGAGGTACGATTACTAAAGCATTTTTCTTAAATAAATACTGCCCATGATATACTCATAGGTTTAAGTAGTAGTACCTGGGAAGCACTCTACATGCGAGTCTAGGAAGACTAGGACAGGACCCCTGGCGATCTCATACCCCATCAGTCGGGCTCGGGTCAGACCCTCCCGTTTGGTTGTCCTCAGAATCTTCACCAGAGGATAATCCGACATATATCTTTCCAGGGGACCTTTAAGATAATCTGCAGGAGGCATGAAACAACAATATTCAAAGAGTAAATATATTGTTTTTTATTTAGATGTCTTTATATTTTTTATTTTTTATTTTATGAAGGTACATTCATTTGCAAAACTGGATTACGAACATTAATCTAAATGACTGACTGACTGACTGGCTGAGTTTGGTTTTACGCCGCTTTTAGCAATATTCCAGCAACATCACGGCGGGGGACACCAGAAATGAGCTTAACACATTGTACCCATGTAGGGATTCGAACCCGGGTCTTCGGCGTGACGAGCCAACGCTTTGACCACTAGGCTACCCCACCGCCCCTAATCTAAATGAAGGCTGTGGTGTGTCAGATCTGCTGATTGTTAGGGAGCGAACTATGTCTAAATAACTTTGCGAGTGTGAATAAAATGGGTTGAGGCGTTCTGTATGAACGTATGAATACAGTTTCAAACGTCTTTCGTGTACCATTTCTTTCGGATAGTATATATACTGAGGGACAAAAATAAGGGATCACGTGAAAGCACAAGTGTTTATTATGTTCCAGGTTTCTTCACAAGCTTTGTATCGCGCAGCTTGTGACGAAACCTGGAAACAAATAAAGGAACACTTGTGCTTTCATGTGATCCCTTATTTTTCCCATCAGTATATATTTATATTTCTCAATCATCAGTCAGCAGGTTACATTGTCAGTATCATGTCGTCATCTATCTCCCTCTCAGATCACATGTGCACTCCTAATTATGCCTATAAACGGCATGTTCAACATCGTTCCACGTAACGGTTAAATGCTCCTGGTAAGAAGAATTTGAAAAATTGCATTGATTGTTTGTTGTTTGACGCGGCCCTCAGTAATATTCCATCTATATCTCTTTGATGAATTGCGAAACTAAAACAATAGATATAAGTAGTTGTGTATCTCCTGTCATTGGTTCTTGTAGACAGATCTCGAAGGTCGTTGTTTGGTTACAAGCCTGCATATGGTTTAAGTTCCTTGATATGTTAGGACGCTGACCTTCATCACAATACTTGGCATACTGTACAAACTTAAGTTGTGTAATTTCTGGATGTAAAGCTTCCACCCCAAAACATAAATAGCTGGTGCGTTTTGATCTGCATAGCTTTAGGACTTGTCGTAGAGAGGTCATCGGTAAGCACAAAATGGTAATAATTCGTCAAATATTAGCCATAACACAATTGTGCGGCTTTCGAATGAGAATTTCTGCTTGAGGTTATTTTTGCGAAAAAGTATGGTTATGTACCACCCCTTTCGTATTCCAAATCTGAACTGCTTCACTGTACCAAAACTTGCCGCAGGTGTCTACAAATAGGGATCGCGATCAGTCTGTTACCATACCTCGATGAAATATTCATACTGCTCTTAATACTATACTTATCGATATGTCGATACTTGGTCGAATACTGGAGGGTGAGGTGATAGTGTTGGAATTTTGCTGATCGTTGTGTGAAGCAACATATATTTCTTTCTGAATTGCATATTCGCAAGATGCAACTGCCTCCTGATTACTGCAATATAGGACGTCATTGCTTGTGTTGTTGATGAGAGACGTGTGGTCAAGTAGTCAATTGTCACTATACAGAAACATTGATTTGACTTGATAAGACTATCACTCCGCAATGTTTCGTGATACTTATATGCATAGAAATATAGTCTCACCAGACGAAGAGAAATCATCTACGAGGATAATCTCCCGCAGCAGATGTGATGGTGATCTGTCCAGGATACTGTGGACTGTCCGAAGCAGCACCGACCATGCCTCGTCTTTGAAGCAAATGATGACGCTCGCCATGGACAGGTTTGGGCGGAATGTTTGAGCCTTACATCTTACAACAAAGACAACTAATACAGATATACATATATCAATCACATTGCAAAACGTTGCTCTGTCATCTATACTAATGTATATACAAATTCACAGAACAAAATAAACCATATGAAGAAAATGTTTTTGCTCCCGTCAGAATAAATGTATTACGCACACAGGATATGACCTTGCAGATAAAAATAAGCTGGAAGCCACACTGCATAACCCCAGTGCAACATTCAGAACATTGATTGTCACAGTAGATACGTACTCTTGTGACCTCGTGTCCCGCAGACGTCGGTGTACGGAGATTCTGTCACTGACGTAGACGTTGAAGTAATGCACACGGAACATTTTGTCCATTACTTTCTTCTCTGTGGTGTTAAGTTTAGGAATGTAAGGCACACCAAATTCTCCTGCAACAACGTAGGTGTGGAAACATCAGTTTCAGTTACGTGCAGCAATCGCAACATCTTTTGATAACCTTTCATCATCTCGTAAACATGATGCGGTCATGAAAACAAGACAAAGATATTTATAATTGGTTCGCAAAAAATGACCAAAGGAAAGCAACGGCCATTATCCATAATTGAAATCCTAACAGTGACGTCATATTGTGACTTCATGTCATTACCACTGGCAGATGGCATGCTCATTTCCATGCATGTCAGCATATTCTACTGCGAGTCACGTCTAACGTCCCTGTACGAGCTACACAAGAGTTAAGTATGATGGAAATATTTATTATTGATAAGAATTAATTCTGTCTCTTTATACTGTAATACAATAACCACGTCCCCAATGCCTGGACATCTGCGGAATCAGCTCAGCTTCACTTGATAATTACGTATATCATGCCCATACCGATAACAATAATACTTACCCGGACCATTTTCGGGGCTGTCTTTAACAAACTGTGGATATGGTATGTCCGAGACTTGTTTATGGCGGAGTCTCTCACTGTCTACCTCCTTGTCACTTGGCAACTGTACCTGAACACCTTCCAGGTCATGTTGGGACCCATCCTTCCTTGCAAGAGCCTTTTCTTTTATTTGGTTCAGTAGGGATATGTGATCTACACTTTGCTGAACCTTATCTTTCGTGTTATTCCAATCCCCGGCAAATCCTGGTCCATTATATCCAGATTCGTTTGAATCTCTCAATGCCACACCATGACGGGCAAATGTGACACCATTGCTCTCTACCAGTCCATTGTCGTCTTTCTGATTGATTGTTTCATTATCAAGCGCTACATCAACTAATGTTGCAATAAGCAAATATGCGGTAATACCCATGCAAAGAAGTGAAAAGCGAAACATTAAGCGAAAATATTTCCTCATGTTTAGTAGTACTATAACACACGGGGTTTGGATATGCAATTAATCCACTCGGACTCAGGTCTGAAAAGGAGAAAAGAAAGGTATTAGGTTTAGTTCGTGAGCTCATGTTTCGACATTGTGACGTTTTTACGGATATTGTGACGATTGCGAAAATGTACTCTTAGTTTTAATTCAGGACTGACCACATTTCAACACTGAAGTATGACAGGGCGATGTAAGAACCTACAGGAATCAACGGCCAAGTGTTGCCTTACTCTGTACTTGCTCTCATTGCAATAACGAAGTTGACTACCCATCGAACTTGGTTTTCCTTCACCTATACAACTTCTAAAATGCCTCTCAAAGAAGTTAGGTACTGTCACTCCCCATGGTTCCTAGTATGGTGATCTACCTTCAGTTGTTGGCAATCTGGCAATAGTTTTTTTTTTGTATTGTCATGTATACTTAAAATATTTTAGATTTAATTACTAGTTTTATATTTATATCTGTGATAATCCAGTTGTTTTACTGCCCTTCGTTGAAAGAATTTTATAATTTAAATTTAATTGCTCATATATTTTAAGTTGATTTAGTCACGATATGGCTGAAATATTGCCGATGTGACTTTAAATCTTAACTCACTCACTCACTCAAAGAAGTTAGTCTGTATTGACACTTGCATCTCACCACAGGACTGAATGGAGATGAAAACTCAACTATAAAATTAAATATAATAATTATAAATATTAAATATTATATTATAAACGAGGAAGGGCGTGAAGACGAACCACATACAGCAAATGTTTTATGATCGGCGAAGAAATAATCTCACGTTGATACGTTGAGATTCTATCACATTGTCAATGATAAATAACCCGGAAATCAGGCTAGAGAAGCTGGATTTGAAAGGAGCTTTGGTAAATATAAATATTTATCCTATTTATGTGACGATATGAAATAGGTGTTAACACAAAAAACACAGCCAGCCTCCAATTGTTTCAGATTATCTCGATGTGTGTGTGAAACACTGAAACATTAAAACCATCACACAACCAGGATTCGAAATAAACCTTCATTCATACTGACATCAATAAAATTTGATAATGAATAATTATTTGTTTATGAAACATTAATAATTATTATGTATATAACTTCGTATTTCTTCATACCTGATGCATGTTCATATCCTCTACAGTGCATAATCCATGTATCTGAATAGATGCTTCACTTACAGAGCAAGAATTGGAATGATTATATTTTCAATAAACACGTCTGTTTGCATAAGGCAACACTTACAGCAGTTTGGTTTGAGGGTAACAGGTTGTTGCAGACCAGGTAGAAGTCAATTAAAGGCCACACATGTGTCACGGACAACGTCATTCTGTTGCGTATGTACAACGTGACCAATCAGGAGTATCGGTTTCGTGTAATCGATAATTGACCCTCAGTGTTAGGGAAATGTGCAGGGGCGTTCATTACAGGGATCGTTAGTCGTGTTTTCTGACACATCTATTCTTCTACTAGCAGCAGGTGGTTTCTATCAATGTATTAAACCCACATTTAACGCGATCATTTTAGATCGAAGAATATACATGCGTAATCAAATATATATTATAGACCGATTATAGAGGATAAAGGCAAGCATTTATGGATATCAGCATCTTCATTTTGAGGAAAACGACGTTTCGGGGTATATTTTGTTATATATTAATGAAAAACCGATGAAACAGATAACTTTATAAGTACATGTGAAATAACAACAGTGATAACATAGCGAAGGAAGCCAGTAGTTAAATGGCGCCGATTGTATCACCTCTAAATGATAGAGAATGTATCTGTGGGCTTGAACAGGATATCCGTATGTTTACATTCCCTTTGTTCACGTACTGTTTTTTTCTATACTACTTAGTAGCATTATGCCATGACATCCTGGCAAGTCCCATCTACAGGAGCCTGTTATACCATTAAGCATTTTAACCTAAATACTAAACTCAGATATTTTATGTTGATACCGAATCCAGCTCTTGTTGTATTCCCTAAATCCGAGTGCCAGACAAGGTAATCAAAGTACCATGTTATAAAGTTGCCTTCTCACGGTACGACTTGTAGTAACAGCTTGCATCACGCAACATAGTTGCAACGTGAGAACACTCAAATCGTAACGATGTGAAATCGCATACAACTAGTCGCAGCTGAGCTGTAAGACATAGGATTTGTCGCAAGCTATCGACTACTGAAATCGAGGAAACACGACTGAAAAAAGTTGACCTTACCCGAGAGAAAACCGATCGATGTATAGGTGTGTAGTTGTTACAGGGATGTTGATGGAATGCACAACGAGCCACCTACCCCTATACGCTCCAGCCGTGCTCAGACTAAGAATCCAGCTGCGGACCCACACCGAATTAGGCCTTCTCCCTTCTTTATTATTGCCCGTTTAATTTCATGTTAGACGGATGAATTGCTCACTACCACAAAATCTAATATTTGCAGCAAAACCAAATTTGGCACAATAGGGACCACTTGGTGGTATCACAGCCAGGTGTGCGAGTTGCACGTATGAAATTGAAATTTCACTTCAAACGATTGTTGATTACCTGGCTGTTCTACCAGAAAGACTTGGTGGTCCCCACTCGTAATAAATAGGAAAAAGTGACAACAAATTAATGATCGTGTGTTAAACAACATTTTTATTCGGGTGTCCAAAATTATGAGACAAATCATCAGAGTTGGTCTGTCGATTTCATGTAACTGTGCAAAATATGGTTTTGTTGCAGTTATACGATTTTGTGTTAGTGAGCAATTCATCTGTCTGAAATGAAATCAAACCTACTGTGGTGACTGCGACTGGCATTAAGGCTAGCCTGTCTTCTTCACTCGACGATTCCATACGTGAGAATCACATGAGAACAAATTGTATGCGACTCGAGACGTACACGGCTAACAAAGTCATAACAATATTTGTTGTTGCTACAAGTCGCACAGTGAGAACGCACCTTAAAGTATTTTGAAATGATACAACCACAAGATCCATCCTTTCACCTTCCGCTTCCCGGGTAGATCTGGTTTCACTGAACACCATATACGCTCAATAATAAAAACGTACTGACATTATCATTACGTGTATGACGTTAATGTATAATTGTATAATGTATATATTCATGTTTCCAAAAATACAATTCTCCCGTTTGCATTCAGCACAACTTTCTAGCTGATTTCTGATATCACCCCAATCATAAATATCACAGATATTTCACTAATAATTTTCGTCATTCGGCTTTTTATTTCAGATGCATCATCAGCTGAAGGCTAACGTTTAATTATGAAGGGCGAACCTGTTCACTGACATGGTTTAACGCTCACTGAGATGGTTTAACGCTCACTGATATAGTTTAACGCTCATGGTTTAATTAACAAGTTCACCCCTTCCTGCATTTACTTTGCAAAAGGACTGCTTATTTGTGAACACGTTTCACAGAGTATAAATACTCATTTTTCAATTTTACCTGATATACAGAAGGTCAGTTATTTTTTTATTATGTGTTTTAACTTTGCCAAAACCCTTTAATATATTCTGTCTGGACGTCATGCCTTTTGTATCAGTGATGGGATTTTGTATACTCTGTGCCTCATACCTGGTGTTATACTTGCATATTTTAAAGATATATGTTTGTACTTTGATGTGAAGAAAGGTATTATTACAAAACGTATGTAACAGATAAAGTCTCCCATACGTCTACAAGAATGGTTTGTGTGCATATGTACATGTTCTAAGTTGCTCATAAAATCGCTGTACATAAGGTGAGACTTAAAGCAACTATCTGTCTATCTGTCTGTATCTATCTCAGTCAGTCCAGATCAATGTAATAAAGGGGATTTCTTCTAAAGACTTAAGATAAACTGAATCGCGTAAGGGCAGGCAGGCGATGTATGTATTTATGACACAAAGCATTAAGAAAACAACTGGCAGGCCAGTTTGAATGACAACGAGAATGTCAATTTCTCAATCAACTTTTGATTGTCAATGACACATGTGAAAGCCTCCATCAATATACCGATTATATGACGCCATATGTTTGCATGTAGATAAAAGAAGAAATAACTAGATTCCAATTCAATCAAGCCTCTATGAAAAATATATAGACAAGGTAACCACTCTGTAACGATGTAGATTAAAAGTTAATGGTGTACCGGAGCTCAAAGTAGGACATCGACAAAAGGAAAAACAGATGTACAGCAACATCCGGCACTGTGACCAAAAATTGATAATTTAGCATTTATGTCGAGAATAACCAGCTTTCTGCCAAGAACTGCTCAGCTGAATATATAGTAAGGACACACTTTCAATATCACTGAAAAGGGAAGAAATGTTTGACACCTTCAAACTACCGCCTGTCAAGATTGAACAAAGGAAAGGCAGTATTGTAACAAAGTAGGAATACTTATCGGCGACAGAATATTTACATATGAAACGATGAAGCGACTCATTACCCTGACATCATATGTTGTGGTCGAGGCATGGCTATACTTCAGCGAATATTTTTCAGATGCAATATTCTATGGCAATATTGGCAGTGGTTGCTGTATGCACCTGGTGCAGTGATACCATGTAATTGTACTAAAGTTGACCGTTTTGCCTCGTTGTGTACTGACTGAGTGGCGAGATGGCCAGGCAGTACGCATGATAGCCACGTGCTCAAGAAGAGTAATCTGCAGCAACACATTGAAACTCATACCACTCTACAGGACGGTGTTATTCTCGGTGACAGTAGATACGAATGTCGTCCATATTTCATGACTCCCGGCGATTCATTAAAATCTCAAATGTAATGCGTTATAAGGGTTTATGTTGCTATTAGTTTATGAAGCTATGCCATAACCAGATCCAGGTCATGATAAAAATTGAACTCACGGGGTGAATGAGACAAGTTACACCGTCTTGATTTGAGTTAATTTTCTTCACATTAATTCGTGAAATGCATGCTTTTTTAACCAAGATTTCAAAGATTGGCATACCACTCTTTCTCAGAAGCTGGTTGTTCAAGGTTATACCTTTCAAGGCCTCAGTAAAACTTTCAAAAAAGCTTTATGGTCGACTTGTGGGGGACATTTTTATATTTGATTCATAGGTAAAGAGAAATTATTCTCTATTTGCACTTGTACCATACGTTTCCGATTTTTTTCAGGGAAACTGTTTTGTCGCTTATATGTACACGTGTGTTTACTGTGATGGAGAATCTCAACGTCGCAAAATAACCAGAGAGACATAGTATGCGAAGCACGTGAACATTTTTCCTTCTCAGGAAGCATTTAGAACATTGCAATAACAGGAACTGGACTGCCACAGTAACCTTGTTCTGCATACGTGGACGAAGAACTCGACATAGAGTACTCTGGTTCCAAACATTGTTCAGCTTGATGTCATCAGGAAGGGAAGCAGTTACACCTAGGCCGACACCTTATTCAGCTGTTGCTGGTGATGGAGGCTACACCAGCTACTGAAGGTCGTGACTGATGTGATGACTGGTGTCTCTAACATAATCCACTGACACCTGACCAACTGCACCTTAAACATATGTCATATTTGGGATTACACTTTCTTTGTAAAGTACAGATTCTAGTGCTTTTGTTGGATTGAGTCAGGCACCTAATCGTCAGCACACAAAGTCAGACGCCAAGACCGCTCAACCACAAGTGGAAGCCGCGGTGGTTGAGCGGTCTTGGCGTCTGACTTTGTGTGCGGGCGATTAGGGCCTGACTCTGAGGTTGTGGGTTCGAATCCCGGATGGGACTCAATCCAACAAAAGCACTAGAATCTGTACTTTACAAAAGAAAGTGTAATCCCAAATATAACATATGTTACATTTGACCACTTTCTAAATGTCATTGTGTATTTCCCAACTGCACCTTGTTGTGATGCCCATTGCTGTTGTTCTGTGGCCTGGTTTGAAATGACTTCAGTGAAATGAAAAAGTAGCTGAATTCTTGACATGTGTTGTCAAAACTCAAAACAGTCAAAAGTTTATTTTAGGATAACACTTTCGTTTTCATGATCAAATGCAGACGCATCGATGGCCTGGTTATCGTCTTTGCCGTTTTTCAATATCAGTGAAAGTAGACATATGTTTTGATATAAAAGGATTGAGAAGCCAAAATATAGGCTTGTGGCTGGATTTGTATGCGTTCATATGTGCGCCATTAATCAATGTATTTTAATAACAACAGTTCCCATTTCCACGTATCACATATAACATGTATTGACTTGCGAGGCAGACCTAACCTGCAGCAGTAACACATGATAACGTGAATGACGAGGTGTTGGCATCTACCCTGAACCACGCCCTTATTGTGAATAAAGAAGCAGTTTATTCATGAGAACATGGTCATGTTCTCCAGTGACGATATTTGCAAATGCCTTTTAAAGAAGCTACAACATATATTAATGTATTCTAGATTCACTAAATCGCCAGGCAAATGAGACCACTCGAATAATTTGGAACTCCAAATCACATTTGTCCATACAACGTTGCCCTCGTCAAGTATAGATTTTCTTGGTTTGATACATTCAGGTTTTGCACATATGGTGAACACATTGTGCTGATACATGACAAATGCACTCTCTCGAAGAAGGAAATGGTCTCAAGGACTGATTGTCGTATGGTTGTGTAACTCATTGTTACACAATATAGTAATTGTGTCTTATTGTATGTGATAAGATTCCGTAGAGGAAAGTTAGTAGCAAGATATTATATTTAGACCTGGAGTCAAGAGTTATCTAGGATATACACTTCTAGAACAGTACAGTCTAATACAGCATCGTCCAAACAGCGTAGTATCACAGAATCTGGAGTCAAGAGTTATCTAGGATATACACTTCTAGAACAGTACAGTCTAATACAGCATCGTCCAAACAGCGTAGTATCACAGAATCTGGAGTCAAGAGTTATCTAGGATACACACTTCTAGAACAGTACAGTCTACTACAGCATCGTCCAAACAGCGTAGTATCACAGAATCTGGAGTCAAGAGTTATCTAGAATACACACTTCTAGAACAGTACAGTCTAATACAGCATCGTCCAAACAGCGTAGTATCACAGAATCTGGAGTCAAGAGTTATCTAGGATACACACTTCTAGAACAGTACAGTCTAATACAGCATCGTCCAAACAGCGTAGTATCACAGAATCTGGAGTCAAGAGTTATCTGGGATATACACTTCTAGAACAGTAGAGTCTAATACAGCATTGTCCAAACAGCGTAGTATCACAGAATCTGGAGTCAAGAGTTATCTAGGATACACACTTCTAGAACAGTACAGTCTAATACAGCATCGTCCAAACAGCGTAGTATCACAGAATCTGGAGTCAAGAGTTATCTGGGATATACACTTCTAGAACAGTAGAGTCTAATACAGCATCGTCCAAACAGCGTAGTATCACAGAATCTGGAGTCAAGAGTTATCTAGGATACACACTTCTAGAACAGTACAGTCTAATACAGCATCGTCCAAACAGCGTAGTATCACAGAATCTGGAGTCAAGAGTTATCTAGGATACACACTTCTAGAACAGTACAGTCTAATACAGCATCGTCCAAACAGCGTAGTATCACAGAATCTGGAGTCAAGAGTTATCTGGGATATACACTTCTAGAACAGTACAGTCTAATACAGCATTGTCCAAACAGCGTAGTATCACAGAATCTGGAGTCAAGAGTTATCTAGGATACACACTTCTAGAACAGTACAGTCTACTACAGCATCGTCCAAACAGCGTAGTATCACAGAATCTGGAGTCAAGAGTTATCTAGGATACACACTTCTAGAACAGTACAGTCTAATACAGCATCGTCCAAACAGCGTAGTATCACAGAATCTGGAGTCAAGAGTTATCTAGGATACACACTTCTAGAACAGTACAGTCTAATACAGCATCGTCCAAACAGCGTAGTATCACAGAATCTGGAGTCAAGAGTTATCTAGGATACACACTTCTAGAACAGTACAGTCTACTACAGCATCGTCCAAACAGCGTAGTATCACAGAATCTGGAGTCAAGAGTTATCTAGGATATACACTTCTAGAACAGTACAGTCTACTACAGCATCGTCCAAACAGCGTAGTATCACAGAATCTGGAGTCAAGAGTTATCTAGGATATACACTTCTAGAACAGTACAGTCTAATACAGCATCGTCCAAACAGCGTAGTATCACAGAATCTGGAGTCAAGAGTTATCTAGGATACACACTTCTAGAACAGTACAGTCTACTACAGCATCGTCCAAACAGCGTAGTATCACAGAATCTGGAGTCAAGAGTTATCTAGGATACACACTTCTAGAACAGTACAGTCTATTACAGCATCGTCCAAACAGCGTAGTATCACAGAATCTGGAGTCAAGAGTTATCTAGGATATACACTTCTAGAACAGTACAGTCTTCTACAGCATCGTCCAAACAGCGTAGTATCACAGAATCTGGAGTCAAGAGTTATCTAGGATACACACTTCTAGAACAGTACAGTCTAATACAGCATCGTCCAAACAGCGTAGTATCACAGAATCTGGAGTCAAGAGTTATCTAGGATATACACTTCTAGAACAGTACAGTCTAATACAGCATCGTCCAAACAGCGTAGTATCAAACAATCTGGAATCAAAAGTTTTCAGAACAACTACATTTTGAATATTGCTTCATTTTGTGATAGAGATGGGCGTGTGGTGTCAGAACGAGTGATTTAGTTATATTTAATTCATATTCGATGCCAAGTATGTGTACATTGTTCGTGCAGTATGTCGTTAGCCTCAGTGAAAATAATTAGTTAAAGTATGTAGAATAGCGAACTGTCATATCGAATATGTACAGACAATGGAGGACAACAATTACATTTTGAGGAATAGACATGATGGAACTGAAACAAGAACACACATGCAAACAAATTAAAGAACTCGCCCAATATCGACTAGAACATATTTTTCCCGGACGTGTCAGTTTGATTTTGAAAGTGACATGGCTAATTATTCTGATCTGTTGCCCCAATGTGCTAGATGATGCTGGCCAATGATTTGAAATTTGCACCTTATGTAGCGGAATAGTCTGTCAATTCTATACACATTAAATTACTCCTGTGTGTATCAAATGAAAGTCTGTAAGACGGAACGACCTGTTTCTGTTCGCAGATATGTTTGTTTGTTTGTTTGTTTGTTGTCTACTGCCATACTCGGCATACTGTATCACGGACGTCTGTAAATAATCTACATAAGACAACCAGTGATTGGTACTTGAGTATCTATCTACCTGAGATAAGACGGCATGCATCAACCATGAAGGCTTAAAGTCAGTCTTCAGACCTTGTTTTGACATTGAACTTCAAATCGTGCAGTTACATTGGGACTTTAAGTCATTCCCTTAGAGCCTTCACGCTGACCCTCAAATCTAGTGTATTTTTGTACCACTGCCTTCATTTACATCACGCCAAGAAACGAAACTAATGACACAGAAGAGCTTACATATTTCGCAAGTGTTCGTTTTTAAGTTGTAAACGAAAGCTTATCTTTTCCAAAACACAATACCCGTGAAGATCCGGATTAGGGTTTGTCGTTAACAGCCCATGCTTGTCGTAAGAGGCGACTACCGGGATCGGGTTGTCAGGCTCACTGTCTTTTTGACGCATGTCATCGCATCCTATTTGCTTAGATTGATGCGCAAACACAATATGTACAGGCCCTTACCCTATCCGATGCCTGCCCCACCCCCCACAACAATACATGGTGGGTGACATACAGCTTGTACCTACCTGGCAGACCCGGGAGAAGCTGAGGCTGTTTGAATGTACAATATTTGCGAATACGTGCGAATGAGAACTACTCCCGATTGAAATGTATATCAGTATGAGAATATAGATTGTTTTGCACGCGGCCCGGACGTGTGCGCTTCAGAATCTACGAATCTATGTTTTCCATTAATGTTAAGAACTGTGACGAAATATTTATATCGATTTATCTCAAGCTGATTCCCTCGTGTGGATTGGATACAGGGTTTTCGTCAGAATGAGTCTCCTGGTCACATACTTTAGGAACATAGTATGTAAATGTGTGGGTGTAAAAATGCAGCCTCTCGAACTGATTGTTTTATCGCATGAGGTGTCGAATTCATAAATGAGAATTCTGTTTGGAGTGACTCTAATTTCACATGACAAAGAAAGTTTACACCAAGGACAAGGTATGATAAAGGCCCTTATTGGCCCACAAAATTTCATGATATTCAAAGTTCTACAACATGATAATTTTAGCATAAAAATGCTAAATGAATTGTTGAAATTACCTCCATATGTTTTTTATATGTTTTAGTGCTGTTTTTTTTCCTCTTTGAAGACCTCAAAGTTAACCTATTTTACAATATCTTCGAAAAACCTGCATTTTCATATTTTCAGAGTGATAAAAAGTGTGAGCAAAAGCTTGACCCATCCCAATTTTTCACCACACATGAAGAGAGTAAATTAGAATGCACTCCTAAAAATTGTGGTGGGTCACGCTTTTGCTCATATCAAAATGTTTAAAAAGTACATTTTTTCTGTTGTATGAAATTGCCCCATACAACATCTCAAAAATAAACATTGGCGTAAAGTAATATCTCTGAAAACTATCCGTCACATTTACACAACTATACCATGATTCATTACTATTTTGAATGTTTTAGAGCACTAAAATGAACTTATCAAACATGTTTATTAAAAATTTCAATATCGTAAGGGACTCTCAAGGCTGATTACTTTGAGGTAAACAAGGGTAGTTTTTTGGAGACCCTGTTGATCACTGCTGGAAAAATAAGAAGACATCAGAAGATTTTTCAAAATATGATCAGGCAGCATTCTAAAGGTGAGAATCTTTGTAATTATGCTAGAATTTTATCATATTTGTTCTATCATCTGTTTAGCAAACCCCTCTGTGTCACCTGTCACTGTCAAAATAACACTGGCATTCCACTGGATGTAACAGTGTATAAACATACACATTTTAACAAAAATAATGTACCTTGATGTTTTCTAGGATATATCAGGCTACATTTAATATTGTTAGAATAAGAACATTGTATCAAGGTCTAGCAGATTATGAAAAGCAAGCAGACGTCAAGTGACACATTGTTGCAAAGTGTATATATAAGCTTAAAGTGACAAATAATAACAGTAGAATCTGTAGCCTAGTGGTTACAGTGATGGCTTCAAATTTTT